TGACCATAATTTAAACCATAAATGTGTTTAATTCATTTAATATAAATATTAAAATTTGATTATATTGACATGTGATTAAATTGTGCATGGTTAGCCAATAGTGGAAATTAAAAATTACATTAAATTCACTAATAGCTAAAATTATTAGCAAAATTACAGACATAAGGGACACTAAAATTAAGTATGGATTTCGACACCAAATTACATTAATGTATAAATTATACATACAGTACATCCCTATTTCAAATGGTTTGATTGTAGCTTCTTTTTAATATTCATTTAGATAAAAATGTTTTGAATGCATTGTTTAAGAAATAGCACATTAAAAAATTTTTAAATTAGGGATTTCTTGAGTTAATAAAAATGCAAAGAATTTCAATAAAAATGAATTTAAATTATTTTACATGTGATAAGAAATATAAGTTGTCTAGAAGTAAACAAAATTCAAATTAATCAATAATAATAATATTACATTATTTACTCTAACCTTTAATTATTATTGTTTGTAAATAACAAATAATTGAGATTATTGCCACACAACTTTCACATTACATTTGTGATAATCATTCAAAGATTGGGTATAACGTAGAAATAAAAGTTTTTAAATTAATGACATGCCTTTCACTTCATATTTTAAATGGAAATAACTTTGATTTGCAATTAATGTCAAAATGATGTACTAATGCATTGATCCCAATAAAGCACATCATAGTTGTAGTAAATGCATTATATTGTACAATACCATATACTGTAAAGTTAATACATTTTAATGTAATTTACAAATAGTTATGATGAGTTGTATTAAAAAATACAATGTATTTTAAATTATATACTAAAGCAATGGGTAGAAATGAAAATCAAATATTAATGGAAATATTTGGTAAAATGTAATAAATAAAAATACAATAATTTATACTTTTAATGCTATTATGTAAAACCTTTTATAAATCTCTACTCTATCACTACATTAACCAGTAGTAGCTATTTGGCTTATACGGTATGTGTTAGACATTACTTACTTCTGCTATCAATTTGTTTATTACAAAGAAAATAAATTAATTAAAATAACATTTCCGTTAAATTTTCAAAAAAGTTTTAAAAAATTATATTTATTTCAAATTTTTTTATTCACATTTTTATGGCAACAGATATAATATATAATCTTAAGAATTATATAACATATATATCAGATTATAATGAAATACAGGTTTAAACAGAAAATTGTTTGTTTGTGTGTTAAATGCAAGTTTGAATTTACAGCAAAGTTTTTATAAAAGATTTATTCTTATATTTGATGCAAATGCCACTTATATTTATGTAAATATTAAAATATTTGATATTGTACTGTATTTTGCAAAATGTGTTTTGATCTTATTTTCATTGAATATTTTGTTTATTTCACAACATTTTAAGTGTTATTTCCTTATCTTTATAAAACTTATTTATAGTGAAATTAACTCGTGATTCAAATGTTTAAATACTGACAATCAAAATGAATTTAATCACTTTTTTGGTTTTTTATTAAATACAGTGAACTCTTTCGGAAATAGAAATCTTATAAAACTGTATGTAAATTATCATAAATTTATTTAATTAAATATACAGTATGTATACTTTATATATAGAGTACAATATACTTTATATTTAATTACACAATACTTTACAGTACACAATACTTATACTATAAAGTATATACAATGAATACAGATATAAATAACATTGTTGTGAAAACTCTTGTCTGATAACCTTGTTTTCTTTGATTACATTACAACTTAACACATGTTTAAACAAAATAATTGTTTTTGTTTTTTGTGAGCAAAAATGATTATAAATTTTATTTGTAAAATACAAGTAATTTATTTGTTTTATAAAATTAAAAAATAAGTTAAAAACTTATGATAACTAAAAATAGCAAAATACAATAATAAATGATAAAAATTCTTTAATAACTTTATATATAACACGCGGTAAAATATTTTATATAAAATATATATTCAATTAAAAATAGTGTAAATAATGTGTGAATTAAAAATAATTGTTTAAAATGTATATTTAATTATGACTTATATTTGCATTAGAAATGAATTATAGATTGAAATAGTAGTACCAATTGGGGGCTGAATGTTGTCCATCGAGTTCTTGTCTCTGAGATGTCCTAAACGCAGATTTAGTGCCGACGCCAGCGCGCGGTCGCGACCCTATCTGACCCCCAAAACTGGTTTGAGGTCTGACTGATTTGGTTATACCGTTTCGTGCCTTATCTGCGGGTGAGCTGGGAATCGATGTCTGACCATTAGTCACCGACGGACGAGTCTTTTTTGAGCCACTGATTGGTCGGGTAGTAGTGATAGGAATGCGCGTCTGAGGAACTGCTGTTTGGCCCGTCTTTTTGGTCACAGAAGTGCCACTCTTTGCCGGACGACTACTCCTATAATCAGTTATTTTTGTTATGTATCAACGGCTTAGACATTTGATGTAAAGTTTTCAATTAGATTTCATACCCCCTTCCGTTTGAAATGCCTTTTAAACCGCCAGTCGGTCGACCATTGGGTGCTCTGACGGGCGGCTGAGTAGCGGTGATTCCTTCGAAAGCTGGCGTCTCGTCAGCCGTCACTTCTTGCGAGCCATCGGTGACGGTCTGAACCTGAGGTGATTCGGTGTCCACTCCTCCCTCTCTGATGTCCTGTTCCTGAACTTCTGTCGATTCGTCGATTGGCATCTGAATGCGTTCATCACTCGGTCCTCCGGGTTGGCCACCAATCGAGTCGACGGGTCGACCGCCAACAGGAGCTGCGGGACGACCGCCCGAAGGTCTCATACCGGCCGCTGGTTGTGAGGGTCTCTCAAAATCTTGATCTACCGGTTGCGAGGGTTGACTGGTTTCGGGTGCGGTATAGAGTTGTGCGTTGAGATTGTAGTACTGGGAGGCAGTATTGCAGTCAAAGTCGTGCCACCAAATGCATACAAAGGCCTGCTGTGAGAATATAGTGCCGTTTGGGCACAAGAATGCATCGGACTTTCCGTTCTCCTGACAGATGTGGAACACCTGACACCGCGCCTCGACGTCGGCATAATATCCCGGATACTGTTGGTCTGAACACTTGAAACCAGTTTCCGGCGGAGTATAGAAAATGGGATAATCAGCTCCGGGTTCTCCTCGCACCGCATCCCTAAGCCATTGGATCGGATCGCCTGAATGGTGGTCGTGGTGTCCGTCATCGTGTCCCCCGTGACCACCGTCTCCGGAGTCACCACTGGTCTGAGTCCTGTCGTGATCGGCAACTGTTGTCTGTCCATCTCTGACACCTCCTCTGACATCGCCCTCATCGAGCTGTGCATCAGTTGTATCGTCCACTGGAGTTTGCCTATCGCTAGTGTCCACAACTTGTGTTACTTGTTGTCTATCTCTCGGCGCTGACGGCCGACGTCCGGTGGGAACGGGTTTTTGTTGTGTCACAACTTTTTTGCCATTTCCTAAAACTGGTTTCTGTACGCCTCGACTACCCGTCTGTCCTCTGGAGCCGCCTTTTCTCTGTCCAGCGCTAATACCAGTTGTTGTGGTGGTAGTGATGGGTCGCTGTACGGGTGCTGTTGGAGTGAAATCATCGCCAGTTGTGTCTTCAGTGGAGGCGAAAGTGACGCCTGGAGTGACTCTTTCGGTGGACACGTCTTCCATACTTATGTCTGTGAGCGCCGAGTCTTGCTTTTGGGTCAGATTCTCATCCGATCCTAAATTAATTGTATTCATAGCTCTTGTATTGCATTCATTTTCTATAGTTATAGTGAATTGTGAATAATGTACTCAAATCTATTACTTTTGTGCGCAAAATTAATTTTATAAGAATCCTATATTATATACACATAAAGCAAATAATTATACAATAATTGTTACATAAAATAGTAGACGCATTGTATTGTATGGTATATTAAAACGTGATTTGATTTATGAATTATTTTTTTATATAATGTATTATTTATTGAAAAGTTTTGTCAAAAAAGGTATTCAAATGAGGCATTCGGTGATTTATTAGCAAATAATGACATTTTAATTGCAATATAATTGACGGCAATTAGTTTATGAGCGAACAATTTTTATTCATAGCCTTTGGGTCACAACATGTTTTACGGCAATCATTATTACATCAAATAATTTGTTGTAAACTTTCTATTTCTATACAAAACATGCCATATATTCAATTTCTATTAACTTCGATTCAATTTCACTAATTGTTTGCTTTTTACACTTATTTTTTGGTTCACAACAATTACAAGAAGAATAAAAAGAAAACTTTTGGGATAAGATTTTATAATAAAGTAATTTTAACCAAACTTATGTTTTCAATAATTCAGGTAAACTTTTATATGGTATTTATTGAGCGCAAAATTAGATTCAAAATATTGATAAGTTTTTAGCTGTTATTTTGTGAACAAACTATCTATTGTTAATTCACTATTTTTCACATAACAAATGCATACTAAAAATATATTTCACATTTTTTTGGTTATTTTTAACCATACAATTGATGGGAACACATATAATTTTATTCATCAAAAGAGCCTCTCATTCGTATTCAATACATTGCTTTTCCACTCCATATAACTTAAATATAAAATATTTTTACTTTTTTTGAGGAAAAACATAATGAATAAAATGATAGTAATTTTTTGATTCATTTGAATTAAAATAAATTAAATAAAAATATTCATTCAAAGTTATAAAAAATTATTTATGAATTCGTTGTAAACAATAAGGTCTTAAACACTATAACTAATTGAATGGTTATATTAACATAACTACTAAATAATAATATGTTTCACTTTTTGAGGCTAATATTCAAATCTATCATTGATTTCAATAAAACAAATGCTTTCTCTAAATTGAAAACTTCCTTATCGTCCAATTATATGCACTTATAATTTGAATTATAATTTATATACAAACATAACACATCTGTGAGTGATATACTGTACGAAACAATTCAAATACATTACCATTTATATTATATTTGATTATTATTTTTCAATTAAAAACACAATTTATATTTAGATAGAGATTTGAATATAAGTCCTAAAGCCTTATAGCATATACTACAGTATAAATAGTAAAGCTATTATATTTTGCAATTTATATTATTATATAAAGATTATATAATATTGAGTGAAGGATTGTATGAATACATCTCTATTCAATTCACTCATATGTCCCTCCATTAATGGAGATTTCTATCTAACACTACATCAAAACCTTTATAATTAAAAACAATTTTGCTTTCAATGAATGAATTGATAAAGATTTGTATAATGAATATAGAAATGACATGATGTGATGTGAGACATACCCTCATCGACGGCCACATGTGTCTGACTGATAGTGTCGTCAAACTCTGTCTGTTGTTGTTGTTGAGGAACTCTTGAAGGAAAGCCAGTTGTGGGCCGACGACTAGGAGCTGGTTGTTGGCCGAAACCATTGCGAGGACGTTGTGTTGGCACTGATTGCTGAACTATAGGTGGCTGACTGTCCACATGTTGTGGCTCGTGGACCTCCTGCACCTCTTGCACGGCGTCCTCATGTGTTTGCGAAATCTGTTGATTCTGTGGCTCATCCGTAGGCGCCTGTTGTAGGGCTGCGTTACGTCTACTACTAAACTGACCGTTATTTCTAAGTAGTGTGCGTCGGGTGGCCGGAGCCGGTGGGAAGCGGTTGTCAAAGAAACTTAACTGAGCCGATATGATTGGCACCAATAGTCCTATCAATACATATAATCATGCATATTTTATTCATTATACAAATCTTTATCAATTCATTCATTGAAAGCAAAATTGTTTTTAATTATAAAGGTTTTGATGTAGTGTTAGATAGAAATCTCCATTAATGGAGG